GCGCCGAGGGCGGGCGGCGGGCGCTTCCCGGACGCCCGGGCCTCGCGGTGGCCCTTGGCTGCCATCTGGGGCACGTTCCCGCAGCCCTGGGGGAGACTCGCCCGAGCTCTGGGGGCTCTCGGGCCCACGGGCGCTGGGCCCGGAGCGAACAGGGTTTGGGGCTCAGGGGCCTCCCTGGGGAAGTCACATCCACGGTGCACAAGTGGGCAGGGCGCGGAGAGGCAGGGGCAGAGGCCGGTGACTTCTAGGCGGCCAGGCTCCAGATAAGGGGCCGGGCTTGCGCGGGCCTGGGTGTGTCCCAGGTTTCTAGGGGACGGCCACAAAGCTCCCCATGGCTGCCCCTTCTCCAGGGCTCGGGAACATTCTCCCAGAAGCTTGGGAGGCGACGGGTCTGTCGCCATCACCCCGACCCTTCCCCGGCTCCCATCGGTTGGCTGCCACCCACAGGCTGAGGGGCATCTAGGGGGCATCCAGAGACCCCTGGGGGGGGAGGGGCCTGACCATCGGAAGCGGAGCCCAGGCACAGGCCTCAGAACCGCCGAGTGCCCAGCACAGCCCTGCCCTTCCATTTGGGGAGCCCACGCAAGGGCAGCCCCGCGTCTGGAGGACGGTGGGCACCCGGCCAGGACCCAGCTAAATACAGCACGTCTGTGCGCCAGCGCCCAGAGCCCCACTGCGCACGTCTGCACCAGCGCCCGGCGTGGCCGCTGCCGAGCACCTTCAGGTGGGCGGGCAAGGGCGCAGGGGTGTTTGCCAGAAAGGCTCCACAGCGAGGCCCGGGCAGGCGGGGATACCCAGGGCCAGGCCGCCTGGCAGCCGTGGACTGGCCGGCTCACCTGGGTCTGGTTGGATACGGCCACTGGCCGTGGCGGCCAGCCCAGGGGACCGGTAAGCTCCATTGGCGTTTTCAGGGCAAACACGGCCACGCTGCTGCAGGCTGGCAGAGGGCGCTGCGCCATGGCTCGGGCCCCTCCCAGCCCCACCCACCCGCTGTCGCCTGCGTGTGGTGGTCAGGGCTTGCTAGCACCGCCGTCCCACCTGCCCTGAAAGGCGGCCGTAGCTGCCTGGCTCGCCAAGGCCAGGCAGGGGGAGGGATTAAGCCGACTGAACCTGGGGCCTCCCAGACTTTGAGAGGGGAGCGAGGGCTGGGCGCCCGCTGCCCCGCTCTTCAGCAAGAGCCCGAATGTTCCAGGCGTAGGCAACCGCCTGCACTGGTGTCGCTGGCCTGGCCTCACAGCCCGGCTGGCTGCCCACGGGAGGCCTCGTTGCTTCCAGGCCTGGGTGGGCAGGAGCGCCCTCACTCCGGCACCCCCCACCCCAGGAAACAGCCGCGAGGGTCCGGCCGTGAGGCTCTGCAGCAGCTCGCTTCTTGGGGCCGCGGCCCGGGGCTGCCGCTGTGGTGACCGCGTCCACCACCAGGCTTTGGAGTCAGCCTGGGCTGGACATTCACCGCCACCAGTGGCGTGTGCTGCTAGGGGGCTTTCTCAGTGGGGTGAGTTTGGGGGCCCGGAACCCACAGTGGCCTTGGCCCTGTTGGTCTCGAGGCCGCTGGACAGATGCGCTCACAGGCGGGCACCACACGGATGTGCACACCCCTCACGCCCACCCCAACCCCTCCCCGCTGGGGGGACCAGGGAATGTCCTGTCCGGCTCGGGGTTGGGTACCAGTGGGCAGAATCCCTGCCTTGACCCCCAAGACCGAGGAGTGGGGGCTGCTGCTTTTGGGAAGAGGGCGGGGCTCCCCTTGCTGGATTTGCCCTTCCCAGCACTGGGCCCTCACAGGAGGGCCGGCACTGGTGTCCTGCGTAAGCCACAGCGGGCGGGGGAGGAGCTGGCCAGGGTCTGGGCCAGCAGCTCTGAGTGTGAGGCGGTGTGCGGCCCGGCCGGCCCAGGCGGGGGAGCAGCACCCCACCCCCACTCCACCCCCCGGCGGGGGAGGCAGGCGAGGGGCAGAAGGACCAGGCAGCACCAAGGGCCAGCGAAACAGCAGCTTTATTAGCGGCACTGGGCGCCGGTGCGCAGCACGCGAGCACCCCAGGGCTCCGGGGCGCGCTGGCGGCGGCGGGGACGATACTGGGGCGCATTTACACTGACTGGTATAAATAAAGCTTTGGTGTGTAGGTTCCAGGAGTGAAGGCTAACACTGAGGCGAGGACCCCGCGACACCAGCTCTCAAGGGGAAGGGGCCGGCCAGGCGGGCGGGCTCAGGGCTGCGGCTCGGCGTGGCCTTGGCGTTTGGCCTTCATCTGCAGGTACCGCCCCTTGCCCTCCTCAAAGCGCTTCTTCTCGTCCTCGGTCTCCGGCTGCGGACCAGAGAGAGGCGGGTTAGGGGCAGAAGTGACGGGCGGGGCGCCCACCCCCCACCCGTCTAGTAACCGGGCCAGGGCGCTGCAGGGGACCAGGGGCCTGAGGGGGCACACAGGCCCCACCCCCTTTCCAGGCCCTTGCCTGCTGGGGACATGGTCCCACGGAGCAACGGCCGGGGGCCCGCAGGGCCAGCGGGCCTGACCGCGCGTC